TTATTCTTTTTAGTGTTGCAGGTCAAGAAATTTCTGTGATATATATTTATGAAGTAGCCACACACTAGGCTAAGTAAACTAATAATCTGAAATACGATGCCTATCCTTTTTCCTCTGATCTTGCTGTCTGTCATGATAATTCTCTTTACACGGGTTCTGACATTAGTTATCAGGTTGTAACTATCAGAAATCCTGAGACATCCTGATAAGATGAGCAACTGTATACCAAATGTTGTATTTCTCTAAGAATAGCAAATAGGCTGACATATATAATTTGTCTTTTCCTTCATCTGTCATAGTCTGTGGTTTTCAGTGCATTTGTCCTTGCTTTGCCATTCTGTTTATAATGAAACATTAGTGGGAGGTCTGAGTATTTAACAATTCTTGATTAAAAGCTGCTCTAATCCCTGGACAGCATGGCAGAGGGTCAAAGTTTCAGGTTTATTTGTTGTGGGAAAATTTATAGGAAATTTAAATTGCATTTAGTTTGCTTGTGGGAAGCTTCTATAACAAAGTTTCTTCTACTTTTTGATAGCTAACCTTTGGAATATACTATTATAATCTATGAACTGGCTTATGTTTTACTTTGGTAAAGCGTAGGTTGAGAATATGTCTGTCCATATAACTGCTATGGTAGGTTGGTAGGGTGTTATTAAATGAGATTTTTTCCAATGCATTAAATTGAAAAACTTACTCTTTTTGAATTTTCTTGAGAACTTCTGAGTTTCTTCCTATGGCTGGTGCATGGTGTTTTGTCTTTTCTATTTTCAGGAAAATAGTTTTAACTTATAAGTTTCTGCTGTCTTTGTAACTAAAACTTGTGGTATGCAATCAGAATAAAGGTGTCTCACTAGCAAATTAATATCTGGTTATCTGGAACCTCTCAGTTCCTCTTTCATAATTCACTTTGTGAATCCTTGCTAAAAATAGAGCTTCGTGTGTTTTCTCTATTTCTAAGGAAAACCACAAGTCTGCACTTACTGTGTTTTCAGGGGCACTAAATACATACTGAAAACGTGCCTCAAATTCAGGTACTTCAGAAGGTGATTTTAGTACTGAACAGAGTTTCCATGGTTGCCTTTTTTTTTTTTTTTTTTTACTGTGATTTTTTTGTTTCTTATGCCCTCTAGTCTGTTCAGCTGTGGCAGTGGCAAAAAATAGGTGGTGTTACAGAGATAGCATATAGTGTATTGTGCCCAGACATATTCTTTCCACATTTCAAATTTTCCATGAAGAAAAGCATCTTTGTTGCCAGTGTGTTTCCTTCTGTAGTATTTTGTTTGGTGTGCTTTCTGTGTCATATGCGAAATTAAAGTAATGCTTAATGAGAGGATGGGGTAGTGATGTCCACTATGTTTTTTTCCAGAACATCTAAAAATCCCTTTATGTATTTCTAGAGCAGATAGCAGATAGAAATCTTATGGAAGAGTTGCATAACCTCCATCTAGAGAGTTTTCTATTCATCGTGCTAGGTTTTATTCCTCTTCAGAGGCACCTGGTTCACCCAGTTCTTCCTTTATAGACCCAGATGTTCCTGGAAGTTGTGATTTCTAACAATGGGAGGAGTAGCACTGTATGATTGAATCCGCATCTTTCTTCTACACCTCTTGCTTGGCTAATTCTCCATTTCATATGGACTTCTACCCACCAACCTGAAGGCAAGCTGTATTTTATGAGGTGTTGCAGTGGATGTGTGATGAGGAACTTGTAAATGCTTATCAGTGCTCGGTTTGTCAAGATGTTTTCAGACCTTGTACAAGTTCCATATTGTTCATAAAAATAGTATCAATATTTTGGTTTTATTTTGGAGTGACTGAAGTAGTAGGTTCTTCTACTTTTGCTTTTGATTAGAAACCCTAGTTCTGAATGGAATTGTTCTGGCAGAAGGTTACCTTTTGAGTCTGGAAAACTGATAACACTGAATCTGAAGTATGGAAATTGGGGTTTTATGAATAAAGGTCTGTTTAGTCATATTCTTTACAATTTTATTTTTAAATCCAAACTCTGGTCAAACATATGTTGCGTAATTGGGAGGAGAGTTGACTCAGTAAGAGAATACTTTACCTCCATTCTAAGTGCTGAGAAAGTTGTTTCCAGGTGCAATGTAGTTGGTTCAGCCTTCCAGCAAAGGTGCAAAAAAGACAAACACTTAGCATGTGTCTGACTCTGTTTTGTAAGAAAAAACAAAAAAAAATCTTTAAAAATGGAAGAAAATCACTGGAGAGAAAAGTTAATGCTACCTTGAAATATGTGCAAACTAAAGAACAAAGGTAAAAAAGTACCTGTGGTGGATAGCTTGTAAGATTTCTGCAAGTGGAGCAAATTGAACTATTCTGGGTTCCTTTTGTGGAGTCAGATTTCTCTTTCACCAGGGTTCTTGGTCAGAGCAGACATTATGGTTCAAGCAGCAGGAAATTGAAGAGTCAGTATTTCTGTCTGTTTTCAGCAGCTCTTAATTAATGCTCTGATCAGCAACTAAGTTGCTGGCATGTTGCTCGGAGCATGATTCAAAGCCACACATGGTTCCAAGGGCTCCCGTTTGAACTGCACATTATACCACTCCTATGTTGTTCTGTCAGACTCTCCCCAGGTTGCTTTTTGTTGCAGATTTTTTGCCATGTCCCAAGGGTACATATAGGTGAAGGACAGAATAATCTGTCAGGAGACTCTCACTGCTGCCACTTCGGCAGCTGAAATTAGTTTTTTTCCTAAGAAGACTAATCAAATTTTGTTCTCTCAGTACCACTACTAGTCAAACAGCATTCACTGAGTTTTCTGACCTGACAAAGTTGCATGTAGAATAACAGCCACACTACTGTCAGAGTTAACTGACATCAGGTTACTGTTTACTTTTGCTTGTGTCCATGGTAATGGTCATATCTAGTTTAGTACAATCAGCAGTTGACTATAACATGGGAGAGGGGAGCATATGTGTGTATTTATAATATCTAAGCTGTGTTTTAAAGTTCTTGACAAAAATAAATAAACAGAGCTAAGTAAGAGGTCACACTGCTTTTGTCCCCAAACCCATGCTGTTTGGAGTGTGCTTTTTTTTTTTTTCTTTTTTGGTATTGGCAAGAGAGCCCTGAACTGAGACCTGAACTGTGAGATACAGTTTCAGTAAGATACTTTGCAGACTTTGTTCAGCAGGATAGGGGTATGAATTTACTCTTTAGAAAGAGGTCAAAAAGAGGTTTCATATTCATTCATCTCCTTTTGGGAATTGCTGACTTCCTACTGAGGTGGTCAAGGATCATAAAACAGGCACAGACAAAATGCTTTGATATTTTTGTCCCTTCAGGCATGATGCAATTGTTGCAAAATTACAGGTTTTGTTGTAAGAATGAAGGAATGTCACTGCAGGGAGTAGTTGATCCTATGACTCCTCCTTTACTTCATACACCCTAATCAAAAACTTACGCATCTTTGAGGAAGTAGAACTTGTGTCAGGGTTTGTAGAAAAAAATGTGCTTTATGAATATTTAAAAATAATAGTGTGATAGGAAATAAAGACCATATCTGGATAACAACTGCATGATATGCTTTATATCCATGACTTCTCAAGAGTCCTGTTAAATCATTGTGTTTTTGGGAGGCAAAGAGGAGATGCAGCTCAAGTGGTGATTGCTAGTTCCACCTTTTGGCTACCTGTACAGACAGTCCTGCCCAACTTTCCATGGCCAAAGAGTAAGAAATATTGGTACCATTCCCCTGAAGTGGTTGGCTTTATCAGGGAGACACAGCATAGGAAAAATGAGAAGATCCCTAAGATAGAGTAAGGTATGAGTGTGAGGGGCCTCAGTAGGCATAGGCAATGTTGGCTAGCTGTTGTCAGAGAGAGGGTTTTCATGCTGATTTCTCACAGCTGAAGTTATGAAATTTTACATGTAGTCACTGACAGTTTTTTCCTGCTCATGAGATGTCCAAAGAAAGGGTGGAAGTATTTGTAAGGGAATGGGGAACCTACATGACCAAAACAGGTGTTAATATCCAAAGATAATAAAGTAAAAAGTGCAGAGGAGCATTGAAGTAATACTTCAATGTTGGTATTGGAGAGGTATCTCAGACTTTTGAACCGTTTAGTTACAAAAGCTAATTAAGTATTTAGATACCCTACTCTACATTTTTTTTAGATTTTTTTAAAATTTATTTCTGGTCCATCATGCAGTATATGGCATGATGTATATAACGATCGGGTTAGTGAATCCTAGCACAGAGGCAATGCCATGCTGGAGGAAACACATGACATACTGGATATTTATTCTTTAGAGAGTACTCTCTCTCTTAAGTCCCCTTTCAGTGCTCTGACAGTTATGATCTGCAGATTGGCTCTGTATTATTTACAGGGGTTTTGGGGATGAAGTGTTGAACCACTGAGCCTTTAGGCTAGAGCTTTTGTGCCAAAATATTTATGTTGATGTAAGGGAGTGAAAGGCCCAAAGCTTCATTGAATTGAAAACTATATTGAAATACATGTTGAAAGAGAAATTTGGCACTGACTTTCACTAGAGAGAAGAGGAAAAGAGGTTATAGCCTTGATTACTCTTATTTCATGTTTTAATTCAAGCTTGGCAAGAACTCTTCTGCTATCCACTACAGGAAATGAAGAGCGGGAGAGAGAAGTGGAGAAGAGCACAAACTGCCTAATTTTATGGAGTACCGCTGGATGCCAAAAATGCATGGGGACATGTAACTAGATCTATGTTGCTGTCTCATTCTAAAGGCTTTTTAAGAGATCCATCTGTCAAATTCCATTATTATTGTTTTAAAATTAATGTTGGGGTTTGTTTTTTTCTTTCTGTAATGAGCTGTATACAGGATCCCTCATTAAGACTTCCAAGGTAAGAGAGAACTGGAGGAAAAAGCTGCACCTTAGGAATGGGACAGTTTCAGGTTTACAGTATTTTGAGCTTTTTCCACTTTTATAAGAATATGTTTTGTAAAAATCCACTGGCAGCAGAGAGACATCTGCATATGAAATCCTAACATGTCTTTTGCAGAGAAGATTACCATGAAGATGGGTTCTGTCAGCCATATAGGGGAATTGCGTGTGCACGGATCATTGGAAACAGAACCATTTATGTGGACTCCCTCCAGATGCAAGGGGAAATTGAAAACCGAATTACTGGTAAGCTTACACATCTCTTTAGCAGGGAGAAAGTAACATTCATAAAAGTATCCAGTTCAGGTAAAAACAGTGCTATCATCCTTTTTGTTTTGTCAGCCAATGATGAAGACATCTTTATATTAAGGTTTTGAGGGGGTGAGGGGTGAGCCTGTTTCCCACTTGAGCAGCTAGTAAAATTTGGAGCAAGGAAGATGAGTATCTGTGGTAATATGTAAAGCTTATTCCATGTCCTTAAGTGAAATGTCAGAGTACTGAATTTTTAACAGCTTCTAGTTTATACTGGAGCTTTTTGCATGATGGATTCAAAAAGAAGATTTTGATTTTTTTAAATGGATTTGTGATAGAGTGAAAAAATACTGATCTTTTATTTTCTTGAAAAAACGTATGGTGGCCTTTCCCTTGGGCTTCTTTCCTTTTTGCATAATTCTGGCAGAGTCTGGATTTCACATTGATTTATATAAAACGAAGTTGACCTTCCTGTGCTCTGCCTATGTTTAATCTTTCTCTGAACATACTTTTTGTACAGAGTTGCAAACATGCATCCAAACCTTAATGATTTTTAATGGGCTGTACGTCAACATGGGTTTTCTTCACTGGATATCAGCTAGCTGATTTTAGCAGCTGTGACTCTGATGTACACAAAGTAGAGCAAGCAAAATGAACCCATGGAATAGAGCAAACTGTTTGTCATAGTGTATAGCAAATTAGGTCAGTCCAGCAGGAGCTGATTTGCATCCGGCCAGATACAGCTCACTAATGGACTCTCCAACTTCAACATAACTAGTTGCCAAAAAGAGTTCAACTTCACTTGTCAGCTCTAACTCCCTAAAGACATTACCTTGAAGATTCATTGTTAATCCAGGAATCCAAGTATTCTTTTTTTCCTGTTCTTGAAATGGTGACCAGGTTCTGGGACTGGCAAAATCCAGGTGCTGACCTTTACTTACGCTATTACAACACATTCTACTCCTGCCCTTCTCCTGTACTGCATTGCAACTCCAGCCTCTTTAAACATTATGCTATTAATTAATACATATTGATACTTTTTTTTCTTTTTTCACCAGCTACATAATCTCTGTCCTGCTTGGATGTTTTTCAGCAATATGGAAGTGTTTAACTATCTGGAATTACTAAATCTGTAATTCTGTGAATTAGGTTCATAATGTTCTCTTCAAAAACCAAAACCAAACTTAACAACAAAAAACTGTGATATTACCCAGAAAATGGTTATTGATTGAGCTGTACTTGTTTCTGGGGTATGGAACATGGGCACTGATGACCTGGCTGCTGGTTTCCTAATATTACCAATGTTAGATTTCCAAAGCTAGGGTGTTGGAACTCTCTGTTTTGCAGTTGAGGAGAATTCCTGATGGAATTCCTGATGTTCTCTTTCAGGAAGATGCTGAGAATACCATATAGAGTTGCCCGGTGCCTAGCTAGGCAGTTATGACAGTCTTTAATAATATAGCATTTTATTAATAATAATAAAATGTTGTAATATAGCATTTTAATAATTAATAATGTAGCATTTATTATTATTATTACTATTATTATTATTATTACTACTACTACTACTACTACTACTACGATTACTATTACTATTATTACTATTATTATTATAGCATTTAATAATAATATAGCATTTTCAAACTGTATGCTTTTGAAGGTCATACTAGACATCTTATGCAAAAGTACCCTGAGGATTTCATAGCATTATTGGTTCTTGTAAGCCATATTATATGTCAAGCAGATATTGTGAGACTGGGTGTTCTATACCATATGACAGGGTACTTTTGAAATTGCAGTAACTTGTCAGGTAAAGGAAATAGTTGAAAAAAGCTGAATAGTTGCTGCTGAGATTTTGCTGATAGTTTTGCTCATACCTCCTAACTGCAGTTTTTGATGGTGTGTTGCAATGTATATGGGAAGTGGGGACACCTACTGTCCAACTCAAGGAGCATTTAGCCAGGTTACATCTGTGGGGAATTTTCATTCTGGAGTTTCATTTCCCTGCTGTACTCTTGTGAGAAATATATATTCTTTGTCTCCATGGCCCCTTGTGCTTTTTGGTCCTGGCCATGTGATTGGGTGAGTAGCAACCTTTGGTTAAAAAAATGATTACATTTCTGGAGAAAATCTTTAGATGTGGCTTGAAAGACTGAAAGGCCAACAATGAATAGCACACAGAACTGATGCCTGACCCGTGTATATGTGTTTGGCTACTGCGGTCTCAGCTGTGCTGTTTAACATCTGTTTAATAAATAAAATATAAACCCCTTGGATGCTACTACACAGTACTGCTGACTTTTGCACCTTCCATCAAAATAAAGATATAATTGTAAATTGTGCACTTTTGTCTCATGATGATCTAAATTCTGTAATGCAATGCTTTCACAAAACTTAGTGTGGAGTTTCAAACAACTGATAGTGACTACTTCAGTCCTTCAGTTTTATTTTTTCCATTTTAGTCTTTGCGACAAGCATATGTTACAACTGTCCTTTGAGGCCTGATGTTCTGCTTGCATGCAGTGTTCCCAGTATGACTGATAAGTGGTTGTATTCCTGCATTACTATTTTTGAATTAAAATAAGCACAGGTGTAAACAGTCTAAAAAGCTAGATTTGCAGCTGCTTGTTGCATGTTTGGTGTTCAGGAAGAGATTCTGTGGTACCATGTGTCCACAGGAAATAGATGATTGAAAGGAGAGAGCTGGACAAGAGAGAAAGACTTTATTTGTAGGTTGTAAATAGACTGCTGAATAGCGCTTCCTCTCTTTTTGCAGTGTGAGTTGGTGGAACATGCTGTCTAGCAACTCTCACTCATGAATGATGCTTTACTAGGGGAGTGAATGTTCCTACATTTAAAGGTTGATTCAGCACCAGATACATGATGCACACAGACATTTGTCTTTCCTTTGCAATGTGCAAGAAAATTTTGAGCTAAATGTTAGCATGTAGGTGCTGAGAGCTGAAGGGAAGAATTACATTCCTAACTCATTATGACATTTGTCATAATGTGATCAGCATGCTGAGACTGATTACATTAATTTTCCACAAAGCTGCTGCCTGTTAGGCTTCTCATGTCGATTTAAAGCCATGTCTTCCCAAATATCAATGATACACTTATTTTTGCCTGACAGGCTTTGAAAAACACTTACTTATTTATCAAAATGTCTACAGGAAGAAGAAGTTAGGAAGAATCCTTGTTCAGATTTTATGTAATTAGGAACTTTGGAAATACATACCAGTATTCTGGCGGGTGTATCTTGCCTTTCTTTGCTTTTGATCTTTATAAGTTAAAATTAGCCAGTAGTCTGAGCAACAGTAATCATGTGGGTTAATTTCTGGGAGCTGAGGCCTACAAGCTCTGTGCAGATGTCAGAGGAACACTGGGACGTTGGGTTTTCTTCCTGCGTTTGTCAACCCTCCTTTACAGCTGAAATCACCTCATTTACCAGTAGGCTTTCTGACCCTTAAGGAACGATTAAGGATGTTCAAGGTAAATGAGGTGAAAATGAAGTTTTTTCTCATGCTAGAAATCAATACTCGTCTGTATTTTTGTTGCCCTGCAGCTGCGTTTACCATGATTGGCACTTCAACGCATTTGTCTGACCAGTGCTCGCAGTTCGCCATACCTTCCTTCTGCCACTTTGTGTTTCCCCTGTGCGATGAGCGTTCCCGCACCCCTAAGCCACGGGAGCTGTGCCGGGATGAATGTGAAGTTCTGGAGAATGATCTCTGCAGGCAGGAGTACAACATTGCTAGGTCAAACCCCCTCATTTTGATGCAGCTACAGTTGCCTAAGTGTGAGGACCTCCCGCGACCAGACACCTTGGAAGCGGCCAACTGCATAAGAATTGGGATCCCTGTGGAGAGACTGAGCCGATGTAAGTCCATGTGTTTCATCACCGGGAAAAAGTACAGCTTGGTGTTTCTTTTCATTGTGTCTGAGAGACAATATTTTATCAGCCATTCTTTTTGTAAAGAAAGTGCTGAACTACTCATTTTTATCTTGTTAACACTGACCATAATCTTGCAGTGTTGTAAAGCAGAGTTAGGATGGCAAGGAAGCCTAAAGGATGCTGCTTGTACAGCAGAATGTGTTATATCAACCAGCCAGGGCTATAAAACTTCCTGTTCACCTGGCTGATTTGATGCAGATTTTCAGTGTGTTGCCTCCCACCTGGCTCAGTCCTTGCCTTTTTGGGTGAGCCTCCCCATAGATCTATTTAAGAGTTTTGTTTAGCTATTGATTAACTTCATATAGTTTGTTGAAGCATCACTGGAAGATCTGTCAGGGAACTAACCACCTAGTGTTCATTCTTTCTGTATGGGAACCCACAGGAATATTAATCCTGTAAATTAAACATGGGGTGCAATTATTTTCCTTTACCCAAACGGGATGGGTGAAAACATTGATCTTGAATTTGTATTTACATCCAAAAGTAGAAGGGCTTTTCTGTTGTCACTAATTGTATGCAGTCTTCCTGACTGCTCCATTTCATAGCAATTAATCACAACCCCCTACATTGTTCAATAAGAAAACTCAGACCAAAGATGTTTAAAGTACAAGGTATACTAAGATTATTTTGACTATCTGTGGATTCTGTCTGTATCCACAGTTAGGAGCAGGAGCCATGGCATAATGGTGGACATAAAAGACTAGTTCTGTGCTTTTATATAAATAATGTAGTGCAGTTGAGAAACAGAAGTAACTGAGAATACAATGACAGAGACAAATCAGACAGGGAAGAGATATCAAGCAAAAGGCATGAGAACAAAATCAGTAAAACATCTGGTGAAAGTTGTCTGTGATTCTCAGAGCCAGTGGTGCTACCACTGATGGAACATCTGCTCTTGAGTATTTGTGGGGTTTGAGAGAGCTGGATTCCTGAGTGTTGGAGAGGGGAGAACAGAAAAATGGAGGAGGTAATATTGCAAAAATGCATGATTCAGCTCAGATGATGCATATAGAAGACAAGCATTCAAAAAGTATGAAGAGAGGATAGCAGCAAAACAAAGAATAAAGGTGTGGGTCCAACAAATAGGAAGGTGACGCTTCTAAAAAGAGGAAGATCCTGAATCCTTTCTTTTTAAAGATGAAAATAAGGAAACAGAGGCATGAGGCTTTAACTGATTTCTATAGCAGGTGATCAGTGTGAAGAAAATGGGAAGATTATGAGAAGCAAAAGTTTTCATTTTGGTATCTGGAGACTTTTACTGAAGCGAAACTCATATCTCTGATTTACTTTAACTTATCATGTTCTGTATCTAAAGGTCCATACATGCTTCTTAGTCTCCATTTGAATTCAGAATTGAGAGTAGTCATGTGTGTACCACAGAGCTGAGACATTTCAGGACATAATCCAGAAATAACTGGGTGTAAAAGTACAGATACATACAGAACTGAAATTTCAAAGTGAACAGATTTAATGAAATCTCAAGGTACCTAAATTTAAGTACTTGTTTGCATACATGTTCTGTAGACTTCACCTGTTTTTGTCATGGTGTCCCTTGATTGTTTTGATTTTTCTAACATTTTCCCAAACCCTGTATTTTAGATCATCAGTGCTACAATGGCTCTGGAGCTGACTACAGAGGGACCGTCAGTGTTACCAAGTCAGGCCACACTTGCCAACTCTGGGACTCACAGAGTCCCCACAACCACGATCTGACAAGCACACAGTTTCCAGAGCTAGGTGGAGGACATGCGTATTGTCGAAATCCTGGAGGTCAAATGGATGGTCCGTGGTGTTTTACAAAGAATAAAAACGTACGCATGGAACTGTGTGACATACCTTCTTGTAGTATGTATTCTCTTTTGTTTTTCTCCTACTACTGTTCTGAATCCTGTGTAATTTTGAATGTTCCTGGTTATTATAAGTACAATTCATTTAGGAGGGTTATACTTCTTTATGTTTTCCAGAGAACGAGTTTGTAAGATATTCTGACCATTTTTTATTATACACTGGAGGTTTGTCTGAACTAAGCCTCACTTTGATGCTGCAGTTTTTATTTTGACTTGTCAAATGACAGATTGCACATGCAAATCACCTGTATGTCCTTGGTTTGCTCACACTGCTCCAAGGGTACATTCTCTTGCTCTGTACTGACATCTTGCAGGCAGCAAAGATTTTCAAATCCTATAGAGGGAGATATAGCACCATGCCTGGTTGGAAAGAAATCGTTTCAAGTGCAGAAACAATGCCATTTGAAGTGCATAAAGCTGATGATCTTATCAGAAAGTCCTACACTAGTTGCTAGTGGCTCTGTACAGCACAACTGTTTGCAAAAATAAAAAGTACTGCTCTCATAGGTTGTTCTGCTCATTTTCCCAGTGTTGGTGTACACACATAGTGGACTTCACACATTGGTAATTGTGTTTGGATATGACAGTGTCTTCGGATATGACAGCTAATACGTTAACTCATTAGGAAGAAAAGCATGCTTCCTGCAGCAAGATACAGATATGTCATGGAAGCCATAAAAGTGGATTACGTGGATCTCTAAAACTGCTCAGAACTAATACAAAATTTTTTAGTTACTTCACTTTTTTGCAGTAACATGATTTGACATTTATAATAAATTTCTACATTGCATGTACCATAGGGTAAAGATAACACTGGGATGTGGTTGTGGTGAAAGGAGTTGCCACAAATAGCAAAACCACAGGTTACAGAAAACATCCCAGGCAGTTCCAGTGAACATTTTTGACATCACTAGGCTTTCCTAAAGTCTCAAACTATTAAGTGAAAAAATGTTTTAGGAAGGTTCCAGACCTAAATGTATTGGTGGCTCTTTCATGTCTTTCTCACTCTAACATAAAAGCTCTGCAATTCTATTAAGTACAGAACAAATCATATCTCCACCAATGATAAGTGCAACTTATTTTATTCTGGGCAGAAGTAGCACCAGTAGAGGTAAAGAATGGGCCAAGTGTTGATGAAATGACTGAATCTATGACAATGGGTCAGACTGTGTTGTTTTCTGGGTCATATTGAACTCACTGGTTTATATATTGTGATAGAGATTGTTCACTTGTTCTTTATGCCCTGAGCAGGACAATACAGTGATTCCTGGTCTGTATTCTATGGTTTCCTCAACTGGAAATCTCAAAAATAAAGTAAAATTAATCACATACTTTATGGCCCACACATTAAATATGGGGCTCCTAGCTTATCTTCAAACTGCCAATTGCTATGTCCATTCAAGCTTTTTTGAAATATATAATAGAAAATTATGAAGAAAGGGGAGAAGGTAATGTGACTTCTGTTTTCAGGGCATAGTTTACTTTTGATTTAAAATATAGTATTAATAATCATTAGTGTTACTATCAAATAGCTTAAAAATACTTACTGTAACCATTTTTGTGCTTGACAGGTCCACGTGACAACAGCAAAATGGGAATCCTCTACATCCTTGTTCCCAGCATAGCCATCCCTCTGGTGATAGCCTGCCTTTTCTTCCTGGTCTGCATGTGCAGAAACAAGCAGAAGGCATCTGCTGCTACACCACAGCGCCGCCAGCTGATGGCATCTCCCAGCCAAGACATGGAAATGCCACTCATTAATCAACATAAACAGGTATTTCTTACACAGTTTGCTCAGGCCCAGGTATTTTCAAAGTGCAGTGATTTTCAGCATCTCATGTTGTCTGTGTTCAAATTGAGCCATGTTGTTGGGGACCTAATTTTCATAGTGTTGAGGCCATCTACTTCAGGGAGAACCAGGTTTTGCACTTTGCAGGTGTCTCTAGAAATCATGATCTTGGACAACAACTTTCAGTACACAGTATTTAATGGCACTTGTCCTTACCCATCAATTGCCATTCTGCCTGTTGTCTAAGTGACTGGAAAAGTGGTCATTTCTGATCCAGTCTTCAGCCTGCAGCTCATTTTTGCTCCTGGTAATGACGTGGCCTGTTTGCCTGTTTAAAGCGTGATGCACCATGGGGTTTCTTGTTCTAATCCTTCAGCACAAGACTCTGGTGTTCTCATCCATAAGTGAGTTGAGAGCTGAGAGGGCATGCAACATGTTTCCAAGGCTGTGAATCACAAAGACGGTGAAAGGAAAATGGCTTCAAACTCATGTCTACATATGTCAGCTCCTGCACAGGATTTTCTAGGTCAGCTAATTAACCTCTGAACTAAAATCCTGTTCAGAGCTAATGTTGAATTTTTAATCACAGCATTTACAAGATGCAAGCTCTAAAAAACAATGCTTACTTTGGAAGTTGAATATTACCAATTGTAACTAATTGCTATGATTTTGTGAGTTAATCTGAAGATTTGAAGGAAATTTTCCAGCCCAGTCTATAGGCTGTTGGACACTAAAATCAGAAGTTGTCCCCAAATCACCTGCTAAAACATCTTCCCAGCCTGCCCTGCTCCCTCATGCTGTGGTGCCCTGTATGTGAAGCTGTGCCAGCTGCACCTCATTTGGTCAGGGACTCCTCCATCCCATGCTGATCAGGACAGACACATTACATCACCATCACAAACTGCCTTGCTTTCCCTTCCAGCTGCAGAGGGAGGGCTCTGGGGATTTCCCACTCTTGGATTTGCAACCTTTTATTCCAAGTACCAAAGAGAAATTCCTTCTCCTTTCTTCTCCAATTCCACCCCCATCTTTATCGAAGCTTGCTCAAGGTTCCTCAGCAGTGGTACTGTACACTGCTGCCCATGAGCAGGGGCCGTTCCCATAGTGAAGCAAAGAAAGGGCATTATCTGGTACTGCAGAACTGAAAGAGAGATTTTGTTCCTTCTTCTGCTGGAAAGGATGTTTCAGTTCACTCTGAGACTGCCACCTCCTCAGCCTCCTTGCTTTTCTGACAGACATCCCCTGGGCAGCTTGGGGCTGGTCTGCAGGCAAAGTACAGCTGCAGTTAATAGATGTCATTGCTTGCCAGATTTACTCTGAACCCAATATTCATTTAGCTTTCAGGAAGTGTGGCCACTCCTTTATAAAAAGAATTCTATCCATTATCCTGCAGTATAATGCAATTTATACTTCTGATAACAGTGTAACTCATTTCAAGGTTAATTGTGAAATCAATATACTGATGTGAAAACACAAAAAACCAGAAAACTTCTTTTGGCCCAGTTTTTGTTCCATTTGGAGATCTAACCTGGGGATCTTTAATAAGAGAACCTGATGTTCAGAAAAAGTTGTGATATTTTTGACTGACTATCTTTTCTTCATTTCAGGCTAAGCTTAAAGAAATTAATCTGTCCACTGTGAGATTTATGGAGGAACTAGGAGAGGAGAGATTTGGAAAAGTCTACAAGGGGCATCTCTTTGGTACAGCACCAGGTGAACAGACACAAGCCGTTGCCATTAAGACACTTAAAGACAAAGCAGAACTGGCTCTTCGGGAAGAATTTAAGCATGAGGCAATGATGAGATCACGATTACAGCACCCAAACATAGTTTGTTTGCTGGGAATAGTGACAAAGGAACAACCTGTAAGTATGATATTTAGTTATTGTTCCCACAGTGATCTCCATGAGTTCCTGGTAATGAGATCTCCCCACTCAGATGTTGGCAGCACTGATGATGACAAGACAGTAAAATCCACTCTGGAACCGGCAGACTTTTTTCACATTGTGACTCAGATAGCTGCAGGAATGGAATATCTTTCTAGCCACCATGTTGTCCACAAGGACTTGGCGACTAGAAATATACTGGTGTTCGATAAACTGAATGTGAAAATATCTGATTTGGGCCTTTTCAGGGAAGTTTATGCTGCTGATTACTACAAACTGATGGGAAATTCCCTTCTTCCTATCCGGTGGATGTCCCCTGAGGCTATTATGTATGGCAAGTTTTCTATTGATTCGGATATATGGTCATACGGAGTTGTGTTGTGGGAAGTTTTCAGCTATGGCCTGCAGCCTTACTGTGGTTATTCCAACCAGGATGTCATTGAGATGATCAGGAACCGACAAGTTTTGCCGTGTCCCGATGACTGCCCCACATGGATATACACTTTGATGTTGGAGTGTTGGAATGAATTTCCCAACAGAAGACCAAGATTTAAAGATATACATAACAGACTAAGAACATGGGGGAACCTTTCTAATTACAACAGCTCAGCGCAAACTTCTGGGGCAAGCAACACCACACAAACAAGTTCTCTCAGCACCAGCCCTGTTAGCAATGTCAGCAATGCTAGATACATTGGACCAAAGCAGAAAGCTCCAGCCTTCCCTCAACCTCAGTTCATACAAATGAAAGGCCAAATGAGACCAATGGTCCCGCCTCCTCAGCTCTACATTCCAGTCAATGGTTACCAGCCAATGCCTGCCTATGGTGCTTACTTGCCAAATTTTTATCCTGTCCAAATTCCAATGCAAATGGCTCCTCAGCAGATACCTCCCCAGATCATTCCCAAGCCAGGCTCCCACCACAGCGGGAGTGGATCCACAAGCACAGGCTATGTAACAACAGCACCTTCCAATGCGTCGGTGGCCGACAGGGCTGCTCTGCTGTCAGAAGGCACAGATGACACACACAATGGAACAGAAGATATTGCCCAGAACCCTGTCCAGGAGGAGGAGGAGGAAGAGGGCTCGGTGCCTGAAACAGAATTGCTGGGTGATAATGACACACTTCAGATGGATGAAGCAGAAATTCAATCAGAAGCCTAAGGAATTTGGCCTATTGCTAAGAATTCCACATCGCTTCCATGCACGGAGACAATATATCCTTAGGCTTAGTAGAGTGATTTTGGTCTGACTCAAAGAAACAAAACTAAAAATAAGCAACATCCATTTAAAAGGGCAGCAGTAATGACATACCAGGTCTAGTGACCATTGCCACCAGCAGATTTTTCAAATATGGTGGTATAGACTTGCTGGGTTTAATCTTTTTTACTGTCCTAGAGTTCTTAAGAGGAGCTGCTTTTTAAATATGTACTGTTGCTGTGCAACATGTTGCAGAGTAGCATTGCACGTCATGTATATCATGATATATGAGTGTAATGTTAGTGAATTATGCTTAAGCCAATAACACAAAAAGGAATCCAGCTATGGTTGCAGAATTGCTCTAAGCATAAAGAAGTGCCCTGGATGTGATGGACAGCTTAGTTTGTAGTATTTATCTTTTCAACATAATGAACACAAGATTGTTGTTTGCTTTTTGAGTCTGAAGATCTAAGTTGAGAATAATGATCTGTGTTTGTATTACAATAAGAAGGAAAGGAGGAAACTGAACATAAAATTGCCTGTGGTGAGTAAGACCACAGGTCCAGCCCAGTAGCATGTCTTGAAAGATCATCAATAATGCCTGCCAAGGGATAGACTGCAAGGGCAATTTCACTCGCAGAAATTTCCCAGGGTACTGCCCCAGCCTCCAGCAATTCGTGGCTAAGGGCCTTCCCAAGACAGAAGTGGAATTTTTTTTTTTGGTAAATAGCCTTTGATGGAATTTTCTACCGTGAATTTATCCAAATGATTTTGAACTCACATAGAGCTAGAGTATCCACAACAGCTTGTGGAGTAACATGAGAAGAGAAAGGATGGTTTTCTTTCATCAGTTTGGGTGAATTACTGACAGAAGCTTCCAAATGAGATCATCTTGACTGCATTTGTGGATGAAAGTATTCCTTCTCTGCTGTGTATTTTCAACAGCAAACAGCCTTAATACACTGTTAACCAAAAATGGGGATATTGTAGGGGATATTATAGGTGTGCACTAACTTAATAAATCCAACTTTAATTGGTTATCAAGTACAGAAAAGGGCTCCACATGTGTGTTCCTACATTGTAAAAGTGTTGGGTTTTGTGCGGGGTTACAGACTTACTTGATTTACCACAGTTACTGCTGGATTGCATGTGATACCATGTTTTTTTCCCGACTTTTTAGTAAAAATTATCTTTGAACTTTAGAAGACCAAAATAAGCAGTAATATACAAGGTGCTGTTTTTGTGCTTCTATTTGCAGGATGAATCATGTACAGACCTTTAAATGTAATTTATGTTCTACTACATTTTATATACATTTTTTTCATTGAAATATTTGGACTTTTTGAATGAATGACTGTATAACTTAACCATTCACCAATATTCACATGTGGTGCAGTTTTATGGTATTGCTGTTCCATTTTGTTAAACATGCAGACAGGTCCGTTCATTTCACGACCCCTTTCTGTAATACAAGTGGTACACATTCTCATTGTAGCATTGTAGCCAACACACACTATAGCTCTAAGTTCTACATCTGACATGGAGTATTCAATAAAGTGATGCAAAAGGTATGATGAAGTATGTTATCCTACAGGCACTGTTTTTGTTATGGTACTTTGTGGAAATAGAAATGGCCTCAATTGCTTAAGTTACAGGCTTCACACTTTAAACTGCAAGTTTTTGTTTTATGACATTGGGATTCACTTGTAAGTCATGTATCATTGTGATCTACACCCTGTGTTCAAGGTATGGCAGCATTACTTATTTCCGGCATTTCACCTGGACTTGGAAATGCACTGGTAGGAATAAAATATGAAAGCTTTATTACTTGTGTTAATATAATGCAGCTTTGGGTGCTTTTACTAAATAAAGGACAAATAAAAAAGAAAAAAAGGTGACATTTATTTACATGATGTTCTTTGGTTTTTTCTAGATTTCCTTATCTCAGATAAATGAACTTGATTAATCAACTACACTGTCTTTCTTTGTTCCTTTGCTAACTTACTTCAGGGTAAATGGAGAGAAAAGGGTTCAGTTATACCACAGATTTGTCAGTGAGAGAAAAGATAAGTAAGCAAATGAGTAGCAGCCACTGGAAGCTTCTGTAGAGCACTGTCTGAAGTTCAGCCTATTTCTAGTAGTTAGCATTATGACTTTGTGTGATTTTAATATTGTTTGGGAAACTCCTAATTCTCTTCTTTAAGCCTCATAAATTCACTACAGACAGAAAAAAAGGTCAGATTTCTATACTGATTTTCCCATCCCTCTTAATGTGGTTGTGCTCTCAAAGAGATGGTCGAGGAGCAATACATAATTTCCTAGGCCAGCCTTGGCAATATACACAGTACTGGAGGGGGATACTCCCCCTCTGGTGATGTGGGTGGGGTCATCTGAGCCAGCAAGATCGGAGCCGTGATGGCACGCAAACGCCTTCTATGCGCTTCAGGTGGGCGCCTCTGCACAAGCACCGCCACCAGCGTGTTAGTGGCTACTCCTAAGTCATATGGATTGGCACTAACTTCTTTTTTGCAGCTTCCCAGACTAGTCTTGCCTGTGGTATCTGCTGCACAGTCCCAGCCAGTGCCAGAGTCTGCCTCTCCTCCCCAAGACTTGGAAGCAAGGCCAAGGGAGATCAGGGAAGGGATGAGGAAGTAAGTGGATGGGACAAGATGGAAAGGTGGCAATAAGTGAGGAAAGGGTTGGGGCTGGGTCCAAGCAAAACCAGCACAATACTGCCCACTTGGACTTGCAAAGGTACTTCCTGGCAGGTCTAGCAAATCTGGAATTTTTCTTGAGGGCAGAATGGTTTTTCTAGCAGCAAATACATGTCTGGAGGATGAGTAAAGGGCAAGGTGTTTTTGAGAAGACTGTGAGGTTGGTTCAAAAGTTTTCTCTTGCTTCTAGTACCCTACTCTGTCTATATGATTTTCATAAGAAGACTGGTTCTGACATTAGAAAAAGTGGATTGGGTGTTGATACTGTGCACAGCAGTCCACTGGTGAGGCAGGAAGGTCCCTGTTTGGAAAAACATACAGGGCAGATGGAGAATGGATTTGCAATCACAGGGCAGGAAAACTGAGTAATGGTTCCTAGTCTGAGTGAGGAAACTGACTATAGATGTGTCACTAGCTCCAGTTTGACTTCTGTTCTGATACTGTCCAAGATCTACACTATTGCAGGGTTTTCTTCTGTTTTACCCGTTGAGACTATAGGGAAGACAAAGCTATAAAGAGTGCAGTATAGGTAGCTGTACAAAATCTGAGGATTCACCCACAATTCTAACTACAAACAGACATTACTACAAACTTTGATAGGCAGGTTCATTCCTTCATCTAAACGTCATGACTCTTGGTTTCATCCAGTGATTTCCCTAAAGACTCATACAGAGGAACAAGCTCCCTGCTGACATACTAATCCTTTGCTTTTGTATTTTTCATGGCTATGAACATCACAGTGAGTCATAGGGAATTTTCTTCATGGCAACAGTACCTCAAACTTTTATGAGAGAGATTAATCTGATTTTTTTTCTCACTTACTATCTAAGGAGCTCATCAGATGTCACTCACTGGGTTTGTGTTCAGAGGAATCATTTCACTTCACTTATGTGGGAGTAAAGGGAAAAGGTCTGACACTTTCTGGAAGAGAGGTCAAGAATATTTCCTGAGTTGGACAATCTCAAAAGATGTCAGACCTTGAGATGTTTGACAAAACAGATGGAAGGAGAGAAACATCCAGCTGCATGAAGAGTAGTATCTTTAAATAAACCCTAAATCGTAGTTTCACCATGGATAGAAAGTAATTCTGTTTCTAGTCAGGCAAATGCTGCTGCAAGCTGTACTCCAAACCAGCATTTCAGTTACCCAACATATGAAGAAAAAAATCAACTGTTAAAACCATCTTCTTTTTGAGGAAAGGGACTAAATTCATATCGTAAGGGACAGCAATATTTGTTCCTTTTCTATGAATAAATCTATAAATATTTGTGGAATCCATTACTATAATAAAATTTTGGGGATTTGCTCAAACAATGGAAAACTGAATAGTAACATACAAATAGTAGTAGCATATGCCACAAGCAGTGGCATGACTCAGTGTATGAGTTTTAGTTCCACCTTACCAGAAAACTGAATTTTGTTTCTAGTTTTTCAAAAGGGACTTGTATAGTCTTCGTTTTGCTCAGCTTCCAGATATGACAAGTATGGGCTCCTTCAATCACCAATATGAATTCTAAACAATCTTAAGACTGTTAAGAAATACTAAAAGTGTTCACTTGGCAAGATAAACCAAGATTGTATTATCTGGGTCAGTCAGATCTTTCTCTAGACCAAAATGTACTGTGTCCGCTGTGATAAAATACAGAAAAATTGGTTCAGCAGGATTTCCTTTCCAGAAAAATGCTGTAAAAACCTTTTTCACCTACTGTTCCTGGCTTGTGCTATGATTGATGTTATAAAGTTGCAGTGTCTGGACTTTAACAACTTCTCCTTAAACCCCCACACAGTGGGAGTTCCTAACACTAGGTTGCCACTGCAGAAGACTGGCCACCTGGTTTGTTTTGTGACCTCAAATAAAAGGCAACCCCTGGATGTGTTTGTGTGCATGCACACATGCCCGATTTTGCAAGAAAAAGTATCTGGAATATAAGGTCATAGCTCTGTGTTCAGCATCAAATGAAATAAACAAACATATTTGCATGCGATGTGCTGTTGTCCCAGGGCTGTGTGAGATCTTGTGCAGCTCTGAATCCAAATCCAATTTCTCCTGGTGTGTACTGGGCCCTGCTTCCACTCAGTCACACTCCTTGAGGCTGTGGCGAGAGCAGGACAAACTCTAGTGAGGAATCCTGTAGCAGCCCCCATGAAGCACTGCCTCCGTGTAGAACTGCCGAGAGGGTTTCCGCTGTCACTGTGTCCCTCTTGTCCTATCCAGGCCCCATTTTTGATTAAAATTAAAAAAGAAAATGGTTCTAAATCTTAGTTGAATACCTCAAGATTGCACAAGCAGGGGGAAGTAATGTAACAGAGGTTATGGCAGGAGCTGGAAATAGTATGGGGTTCTGAGGGCTGTAAATCTCCAGGAGAGTCGGAATTTAAAATAATAAAATGCTGAGGGAACGCAGAATCCCATGTAGCTACTTCTCATTTCTATTGATCTAAAAGAGGAACTTTACTTTATCTCGATTACAGTGTACCTGATGGTTTAACTGTCCTTTTTAAAACCTCTGTCTAAAACTGAAATAATCCATCTGTTCAGTAGGTTGTTAACTTTAAAAGCAGTGGAATTAGGGGGGGGAATTTAAATTAAAATTACTACCTTAATTTAATTGAATGCTTATTCCATACAACAAGTAATAAAACACCATCATGTAGAATTACAGAAAGTGTTCTTGTTGCTCCATATCTTATATCTGTTACTGAAGAATAATGTTTTTGTAGGAACCACCCTCCACATAGACTTCTTGCATATTTCTTTTCAAACTAATAAACTAGTCACTGGAGATGCTTGGTGCTGTTGTAGTTTTGATTCATAACAATCAGTTTTTAAAATCTCATCAAGAAGTTTAATTCTTAGTCTGCTTTTGAAGTAGCTATTTGATAACCACCAGCACTATGAAACAAAAGAAATTCATTCCAGAATGAAAAAATAATTAACAGACAGGGTGGTGGATAGGAAAACAGCAAACTAAAGAAGTGAATATCTAAGTAACTTAAACCAGAAACATTTAAGGTACAATAATTTAATTTAGATATAATATTACTTCAGCTGAGACTGATTATTCTCAAATGTAGTCTGAGGCTTTACAGTTATGATAAAGATCATTGCCTTGCTCTGTTGTTAATCCTACAGATACATTTTCATAACTTGATGTGGTTTTCCTTTTAATTACTTTCATATCAGATTTAAATATTTTTATGAGAGTTAACCTGAGGTGGTGGGAGAAATATCTTGCAAACTGCTAGCAGCCATGTGCTTTTCTTACCAAGGAAGGGATGCTGTGGTCCATTTTTGTTCCATCATCTTGTGTCCACACCAAATGCATGTCTCCTCAGTGAATTCTTCTCTTCCCAGCTCAGCTGATAATTTTACAACAAAATACTGAGGAAACCTTTCAAATTGTTTACTGCTAACATTGAGAGCACTAGGAATAAAAAATTTGTTTCTCTGTGAAGGGAAGGTATGTGTTTGAAGATATTTGTTTCTTTATGAAGGGAAACATATGTCTTTGCTCCCTCTGTTCCTTATGCCTTTATTATATCCCTCTCCCTTG